TATCCGATTTCGACAAGCTACCCCTGACCCAGCCAAAAGAACAGGGGGACATCCAAAAATCACAGAGCAAAAAGTACACCTCGCGTGTTCGGCATGGTCCACCTCGTTGTCCAGGCATGACTGCTTGCAGTTCTCCAATGTGGCAGAGATCACCTTGGCCATTCCGAACATCCCAGGTCCCCAATCCGCGCAACTGGACCAAAAACGCACCATCTGGCCATCTGGCAAAGGGGTAGATTTTTGGAACCGGCCAGTTGAAAGGGGCCCCCTGTTTGGATCTTTTTGGAAAAAGTGCAAGAAGGGAAGCGACCAAGAACAACCCACACTATTCTTCTCGGATCCTGAAGTAATTGCTTGTTCTACTACTGAAACACATTTCCCCACAAAGTATGAAGTCCAGGAACTTAGGGAGTGAGTGTACGAGCTTTGACTGGGCTGTGCAAAGATGCACTAAAAGTTCAGCTTGTAACTTGTGGGTGAAATGGAAAAAAAACACTAGAACCAACTAAAATCCTAAGGAACCGGACGGCTGGGAACCGCCAAGTTGAGCAAAGTGACCGTGTAGTACTCTGCCCGGTTGTCTCCTGCGTTCTCTCCTCGGCAGGCTCGGTCCTCACCGCCATCCACCGGCTCAAACCTCAGGTCGGTCAGAATCAGCTGGTATGATTTTAACTTTAACAGTTTCCATAGGTCGCGCTACCTTTGTGAAACCACGTAGCGTAGTAGGCACACCTATTATCCTGCCTTCTTCTTCCTAGAGCTGTTCGCTAGTCGAGGAATGCTTCGCATCGGCACCTTTCCCGGTTGCATCCTCGAGGACCGGATCCCATTGCAACACCAAAGTGAGCTCTTGATTCCCGAAGTGGCCGGTAGAAAGTCTTGCGAAGCAACCTTTGTGGGGCTTAACTCGCTTAACTTTCAGGAGAGGAATCTCGGTTAGGAAGCCATTGTTGGATACCATGCAGAGCAAAGCAGATGGCACCTTGGCATCATCTCGTGGTGCCAGTTGCGGATGAATGCACATTCGTCACAGGCACCCGGAATTGTGCTGGAAATTGGGTGGCAAATCCAATTTAGAGTGAAGTGGAGGTTCGGGGCCAATAGCCGAGTTTCCTCTGGGCGCTTGACAGGTGAAGGCTGCCACGTTGCTGTCGGGCAAAAGTAGCGGGGGGTAAACCAAGCGATCAGTTCTTGGTCCATGGCATGTCCTACCCTAAATCAACTAACTTCCCTCTCATTGATAATTTGGATTGGTGGCTTGGGTGGTTTCCCATCTCTACAAGAAGGGGTGCAAATCCGAATCCAAACCAGACCAAAGCACCTAGGGTTAACTGACTTTTATCCTTTGGCTTGGCTCTGAGGCCCCTGCACCAAGGGAAGGGACGTGGTGGTCATTTCGGTCGTTTCAGCATCCTCGACCTTCATCTCGCAAAGTACGCCTGGGTCAACTCAAGTCTGCCCAAATCTGCGGCACACTTGCCAGGACCTAGAACGACAAGGATAATTGTTTGGCAACCTGAACAACCATGGACAAAAAGAAGGACACTAAAAAGTTAAAAGATCAGCTTTTGGCAAGTGCTCTCCACAAGGGTACGCTGTGGGCCCTGGGTTTTTGCACCCAAGCTGTTTGTCATGAATTCATGTGATTTGATAATTTGGAAACCCAATCCGAAAAAGAAAAAACAACAACTCGAGAAATCGGTAAAAAAAGAACAAAACAAAACAAAGTTATAGGAGAGATGACAGGGTATACCAGGAGTGTCCTCTGCAAAAAGGTTTTTTTCTTGGTTTGTTTGTTTTCCCCCGATTTCTCGAGGTTTGTTTTCCGGTTTTCTATACAGCCCTGACTGCTGGCACAAAAAAGCAAAGTTCTAGGAGAGATGACAGGGTATACCAGTAATGTCCTCTGCCAAAATGTTGTTTCCGATTTCTCGAGGCTTCGGTCGGCTTTCTTTACATCATGGTAATCCTCACACATGTCATGTCAACTACTAGATCTAGAAAAGGCCTAGAGTTGTGCAATAACATTTGTTGGTCTAACTGCCTTCTCTGTAGAAATAAGAAAAACAGATTCAACACTAGCTTTAATAGCCACATCAATAGTATGTTTAGTTGGCACATGTTTGTCAGCTGCTGCATGAAACACTACATCTGGAAAGTAATCACAAAAACATTGTGCAATGATTCTAAATCACCAGCAGGACATAAACTACTTTTTATATTACAAAGAGAACATTCTTCAGATTTGTTTAACAAACTAAATTCACCATGATCAAGTAAAATTATTTGGCTAGCTTCATGCTGAATTCATCCCCTAACAATTTCAGAGCCAATACTCCTCTCTGCCCCTGTAAGAAGGACTCTTTTCTCCTTAATAAAGTATGGACTAGATTCTTTCTCAAGAGTTTTCGAGTCTCTATAAAGTAAATCATAAAGTGAAACAGGCTTAAGCTGTGACATACAACTTAAAGAACATCTTCTAGAGGTGGCACAATCTTTATTCGATGAAACTGTTCACAATGCTATAACTAAAATGCCAAATGTTGAAGATAGTATGATGTTAATGTAATTCCATTTTTGGGAAATTTTATTTAGCCATCTATGCTTTTGTTTTGAAAAGATATATCATCATCAACAAAATATCTTATCATATACCCTTTTGCATCAAGTTTCTGAGCTATTTTTGTCCCAGCAAGACCTGCACCATTATGAGTTTTAATGATACAATGGAGTAAGTGAGAAGTTTTTTTTCAACGCTAGGTATCAGTATTTGGAAAGCTTTGTTGATCATATCTTTGCGGAAAAAAAAACAGGAACAAAAAACAAGAATATGATAATGTGTTGATTAATTCCTATATAGTGTTATGATGAAATGTCTTTTCAATCAAACAAAAAAGGATAGTTTCAACTTCGATTGATTAATGGTATAGTATAACCTTGTGTTATACGTTGCTTTATAGTTTGTGTTGCCCATTTTCTGAACTTTATGTACAAAATGTAGTTTATCCTATACGCTACAAATATGATCACATCAAGGCTATACTCTTTAACATGTTTGGAGTTGTTGAGGTACGGATTGGTGTTGAGTCAGTTGGTTTGCCTTGAAGTAACCTGTTTGCACGTCTGCAAAAACAGCCATCTCATGTGGTAAACACCAGGGCCCACAGCGTACCCCTCTCAAACCATATTACCAAATATTACTAAATATTACTAAAACAAAAAATATCCAACGCCAAGAGCAGTGCCGAGGTGCTGTTCATACATTGCCAGAGGGAGGTGCCCTGGTACTGGCTGTAGGACTTGCAGGTCTCAATGTCCGTGGACTCGGCATCGGCACATGGCGCGACCCCATTGAGACAGGTTGCGAGCTCGTTTCAGCCCATGAGCGGGCTAGCTTTTCAACTAAGGGGTTCGTGGCCATCCCTGCGAACCAAGTAAAAGTGACCATCCCTACCAAATGTTTAGCCTGTCTGCTTGGTAGGCTTCGAAAAGAAAGGGTCGAGATTTAATTTGGGATATTTTTTTGTTTTATTTTGGGTTTTTTTTTTTGTTTTCCGTCCTGGCTACTAAAATGCTGTAATTTACAGCATTTTCTCGCGAAATGTACGTATTTTACGCTAGTCCGTCAACATCATCAGCATCGTTTTCAACATCCCCCGCATGTCCAGCCAACATCCCCAGCATCACCAGCAAATTGGCTTCCCGCATCTCATGGTAAAAGTGAGGATTCAAATACGGGCAAACTAATCCCTGTAAAACACCTAAAACGTGGCGGCAGCCCCCCCCATGATGATTGAAAAAGTGACGACGGCAGCCCCCCCCATGATGATTGAAAAAGTCTAAAAAATTGCGCGGGGGGTTGGGGGCGGCGGCAGCCCCCCCCCCATGATGATCGAAAAATTAAGGGCAAAGAATCTAAAAAGGAGCGGTCGCATGATGATTGAAGAAGTGATGATTCAAAAAGGGACAACAAATATTAAAAAAGCAGCGGGGGTCATCAGTTCCTCTGCGGCAAGGCCTCATGGTACAAGTGAGGATTCAAACACGGGCAAACTAATCCCTGTAAAACACCTAAAACGTAGGGGGGGGGGCAATTCCTCCATGATGATTGAAAAAGTGATGTTTCAATTAAAGGCGCGGGGGGGTTGGGGGGCGGCAGCCCCCCCATGATGATCGAAAAAAAAAAAAAAACAATCAAAAACAAAAAGTCTAAAAAAATTGCGGGGATCGAAAAATTAAGGGCAAAGAATCTAAAAAGGAGCGGTCGCATGATGATCGAAAAAGTGATGATTCAATTAGGGGCAAAAAGTCCAACAAATAGCGGGGGGGTTGGGGGGGGCGGCAGCCCCCCCATGATGATTGAAGAAGTGATGATTCAAAAAGGGCCAACAAATATATTTAAAAAAAAGCAGCCGGGGGTCATCAGTTCCTCTGCGGCAAGGCCTCATGGTACAAGTGAGGATTCAAACACGGGCAAACTAATCCCTGTAAAACACCTAAAACGTAGCGGGGGGGGTGGGCGGCAATTCCCTCCATGATGATTGAACAAGTGATGATTCAATTAAAGGCGCGGGGGGGGTTGGGGGGGGCGGCAGCCCCCCCCATGATGATCGAAAAAGTGATGATTCAATCAGGGGCAAAAAGTCTAAAAAAAAGCGGGGGGGTTGGGGGGGGCGGCAGCCCCCCCCATGATGATTGAAAAAGTGATGATTCAATTAGGGCCAAGAAAATATTTATAAAAAAAAGCAGGGGGGTCATCAGTTCCTCTGCGGCAAGGCCTCATGGTACAAGTGAGGATTCAAATACGGGCAAACTAATCCCTGTAAAACGGCAGCCACCCCCCCCCATGATGATCGAAAAAATAGGGGCAAAGAATCTAAAAAGTAGCTGTCGCATGATGATCGAAAAAGTGATGATTCAATTAGGCGTGCATTTTAATCGAAAGGGGGGTGGCGGGGGGCCCAGAGAGGAACTTGCGATGCTGATGATGCAGGAAGCCAAGGCCAAAAACCAACTGGGAAAGCATCAGGATGCGAAAAGCCAAAGCCAGAAAGCCGCCAAAAGCCAAAAAGCCAAAAAGCCAAAAAGCCAAAAAGCCACCTGCCGCAGCGGAACTGGCAATGCAGAGGATGCGAAAAGAGAGGAACTGTGAATGCAGATGATGCGAAATGAAAAGCCACAAAAGCCACAAAAACCCACGTAAAAGCCACAAAAGCCAAAAAGCCGAAAAGCCACCGACCCTGAAAAACAAAAATAATTCCTAAAAAAAAACGAAAAAAAATCCAAAAAAATATGGCCCTCCGAAAAGAAACCCCAACTACCCTTGTAGCTGGCTGGAACTGACACCTACCGGTTTTCGTTTTGCTTTCGTTTCGCTTTGGCTCCTAACCAGGTTACCTGCCCAGAGCTACCAGTCAGAGCTCCCAAAACTTCCCCCCTCAAACACTTAGGAAAATCGCCTCACCGTTGGGCCAAATAGCGATGGCTGATGATGGTTGAACGTGCATTGCTGCTATTCAGAATAGGAATCCATAAAGTTGCCAACCAAAAGGGGTCCACCATGAGAGACTCCAAAGCGCGCCGAAGCACGGCGGCGCGCCAGCACAAGGGCCCCTCGAAGCGAACCAGCTGGCCAGTAGGAGGGGACGTGCAAAAAGTGCCTGATGCGAACTGCGCTAATCCCCGTGCTTTTCAAACGGAAGGCAGCCAAACAAGTTTGAAGTAACGGCATACCCCGTGATCGGCTTCCCACTGGTGGTTTCGATTGGTGGCTTGGTGGTTGACGGAGAGGCTTTTTATTGACCCTCTACAAAACAAGAGGGTCAAATCCCCAAACCCACCAATCCAAGCCACCAACTAAGGGTTGCCTGAACAACCTCCTGAGACCTCGCCTAGGAAGGAGCCGCCCGAAATGTGGAAAGGTTGGCTTTGCACATCCTGGGCTACAGAATTCTGAAGGAACCTTGATCGTGGGTGAGCGGGCTTTACCCTTGGCAAGCCCGCTGTAGTTAGCATAAGCTCACAAGCAACAGACTCTTACTTGCTGAGCTGGCCCAACAAAATAATGTCGAAACTGTCTGCTTACCGCGAACATGGGCCACCCCAAGCAGCCAAACTTTGAGCAACTTGGGGGCACTCCCTGCAGATTGACATGGAACCAAACAAGGCCACTATTTGTAGACGAAACTCCTTTTGCGCCCCAGACCCTCAAAAGGAACTTCTTCCATTAAGTTGTAGGGCAGTCAGTTCGGGGAAGCAAGAAGCAAGTCCAAAAAATCGAAGAATTGGGCAAGATCCCTGGCCTAGCAACGCCTGCCAGGTCCAAAGTTGAAGAATCTGGCTGCCGTGCCCTGATAAGGTCCTCGGCGTAAGTGGCGGCTTTCCCACAAAATCCGAAAAGTCTGGTTGCGCATGAGCATGGTGTCGCTTCAAGAGTGGATTGGCAAACAAAAGTCTTAGCTGCTTGTCTGCCGCCAAAATGGTCTTCCAAGAACTCAGGTAGCTCCTTGTACTTCACTAGATAAAATGTCTGTGCTTGTCCCACAAACGGTCACCATTTTAGAAGGGGTGTACCTTTTCCGGCCAATTAGAAGCTCCGTTGACCTGAACCAAAAACCCATTTGTTTTTTGTTCTACAAGGATGGTTTATTCGCGGACTTCTGTCCGGCGGCCGGGTGGGAGTGGTGGGCTCGAATCTACCTGGTACGGGAATGTGCACATTGTGCAAAATGAAGTGGGGCATATGAGCTTGCCGAACACTTCCGGCCACCCTTTCCATGAATGCTGGCAACATCAAATCGAACATGTCACCACTCATTCCTGCGACCGCAGCAAAAGTCGGCGGAATGAGCCGGAGGCTCTAAAGTACGGCCCCTCTACAACCACCAGAAGACCAGGCAGTAGAACCACCCACTAAAATGGGCAAGCTCAATCCGTCGTTGAGTGGGAGATATGACCTCTGTTCGTGCTGGCCCTGGGATGGTTTTGAAAGCCGGCGTCTTGACATCTCACATGGGTGGGGGACCTCTTGTTTCCCTCCCCCCCCCAACTTTTGGGGCCCATTCGTGAGGGGGCGGGAGTGCATAAACTGCGCGGGCGCTGGCGATAATTGTGAATGGGGCACGGTTCTTTCTCTGGGTTGCCTGGAGCTTGCTTCCTTTTGAACCTAGGACTTTGTGCATTTCCCTCTTGCGGCTTTCAATCTCGCAATCCCGTGAGACTCGATCAGCTTCCGGAGCGCTGAAGAACCCACCTATTTAACCTCACATCTTGCCCCGCTCAAAACAAACAAAGCTTCGTCCAAATGATTGAACAGAACGTAACATAGCTGCAGCAGAGATCCAAAGGGAAACCATGGGACCACCTCTCCGCGACAGATTTTTCCCGAAACTCTTCGGACATGATTGTTTTTCGCTCGACGAGTCACTCTTCCGGCATCGAGGCCCCAAGTGCGAAGATGTCGAGGTATCGAAATGTGGCCGTCTTTCTGGGTGCCATGGCCTGGCAAATCCGAACGGCGCTTGGATCATCTCAGCCTCTCTTGGGTGGTTTGGAGCCCGGTAGTTGGGGAATTGAAGCCCTGCAACCCCCCCCCAAAATCCACCAAGGCTGATCATCTGATCTGAATCACTCAGTTGCGCCCGTCGGCCTTTTTCTCAGGTTCGCTACCCCGCTTTTTTTCTGGGTTTGAAGGGAGCCAAAAGGAACACCACCATTTGGGGGGTCCCTGGAAAAAAGAAAACAACAAGCAAGTGAAAAAACCAAGCAACCATGCTAGGTTTTCTTAACTTTCCCAATTCCTCGCTACACTTGGTGGGGGTGACCTCCCAATGTCAATCTAAGTCAAAATGTCCAGTCATGCAAAACTCCCTTTCATTCTGATTCTAAGCGGAAGTGGGGAACCACCGAACAAACAATACATGAGAAACCACCGGTGCCACCAAACCAGGAAGGGCCTTCCAGGCGTTTCCCCCATCGCTCCCAGAAGTGGTCGGCGCTTGTGTCAGCCAAGCTCTTTAGGTGCCATCCTTCAAACTGTAAAGTCGGTCGAGATCCGTGGAGGCGTATCCATGAGTGGCTACCGCAGTTACACCAAATTTGGGCACAGTCAGCACATCTTTGCTGGCGGTTCCATATTAGCTCAAGGCTAGGAATGCCATTACCCGCACAATGTTTTGTCAGTCAGGATGTTGAGCCTCTGCTTATCTTCTCTCCCACCATCCGTGTCCATGTCTGCGATCGAAAAGCAAACTACTCTGTCCCACACCTTCGGATCGTCAGCCGACCAAAACCGCCGTGGGGGGGGGGGGGGTTGAGTTAGACCCGGCCTCTCCCGTCCGTCAGATGGCATTTTTTCCCATACCCCCCCCTACACTTTTGGGCACAATTCAAATACACCCACTAAAACAACCTATTTTCAACATTCAAATTCAATCACCCAACCAATCCAACACCAAAAAACACATATTCACATACCCATCTTCATTTCTTACCCCATCTCAACATCACCCTTACACTCATTCAATAACAACAATCATAACTACATACCACCTCAACAAATCCCACCAAAAAAATCCAAGCTACATACCAACATTTTTTCATTCCCAAGATCGCAACCCCAAGATCTCAATAATTTCTCCCTTGATCCAAACTGCAACCCTTTCCCATTTCCAACAAATACGAACAGTCTAAAAAAGAACCCTATGTTCGCCCCGAAAAATGGTTAACCAATGGAAAAGGGAGAATTAAAACCGTTAACCCAAATCTTGAAAACAATCCCAGTAAAATATGGATGGCAAAATGCGGATGGGAAAGGCCTATGTAGGAAAGCACCCCCACGGCTTATACGGGAAAATTACACTATAATTATAACATATAAATGTTTACATGTTATAATTATACTATGGTTTTAATCATCATCATCTCTGTATTCAAGTAATTTAAATTCTGGACATTCTACAAATTTAGTGTTATGTGCAAAACACCTTCTACAATATTCATTGTCGTAGATGTATTTAACAACTTTATTAAAGTCTCTGATCATATTATTGTAATTAAATTTTGTTCCTTCGCAACAATAGGCTATTCTGTTAACATCATTATTGTAAATGCCTCTATATATGTTTCTTAATATGCTTATCTTGTCAAAAGAGAACTTGAATTCTACTTTCAAGTCTTGTTTGTCAGGAAAACTATGACAGCGAGAGAATAAGTAAATATATTCATGTATGGCTGTTCCTCTTTCGGGGTTTTTAACTGCCATTTTTCTCCTTCTCGCTGACTTGCACCCCTCGCATTCTTCATAGTTAAATTTACACATGTTATTGATGATATTACTTGGCAAGTTTAACTTACTTAACTCAACTCTCTCGTCATTTAACTTACAATAGCAGTCAGCAACACGTTTATCAAATATGTTTAGCATGTCATTTGTATAGATCTTATTTAAGAATTCATTCATAATTTCCTCTTGTTCAATCTCAGTAAATACTACCATTCTGATGCTAACATATATAGGTAATATTTCTTTAAATACATTTTCAGAGAAATTATAATTTATAGAAATATTTTTACCACTATAATTACAACATGTAAGATCTTACATGTTGTAAGTATAGCAAAACTATGGTATCAAAGGCTTTAATCTATGTATTTCCAGGGGTTGTATTCGTTTCTTCTGTTCCTTCCTTAACTCTTTTGTTGCTTTTACTTTGTCTCTGCATTCCTTACCTGTTTTGTAAAATATCTCTTCCATTTTAATTCTGTCATACATTTTGTGAAAGTCCTTTCTTGGCTTTGCTTCGTCGCATTTACTGCAAGGATAAACCATTGTGCATCCTGTTTCTTCTTCATCATCTGTAGAACTCATAATATTAGTTATGCCAATATGTCTTTAAACGGATTTCAGAGAAAAATGTTTTCAATCAAGAATAAACCCCTGTATCTTCATCATAGTCAATTTGATAAAATGTCATAGTTGAAGCCTTCGGTTCTTTAATTTCTTTGTTATTAAGTTTGTTTAAATAAATATTTCTTTTATTTTTATATTCACCATTGGTTCGATCTACTTCTTTACTTTGATAACTGTTTGTTAGCGGTTTCTTCTTTTCCATTTCTTGCAAGATTTCTAAAATATTCTTATTCTGTTCTAAAACCTTGTTCAGTTTTTTAACAATCTTTTCTAATCCTTCATCCATGTAAATATATATATTATATTATAAAATAAAACTTTTAAAACTAAATGTTTAAATTATGTTAAATCTACTCTTTAAATACTAATTTTTCATCATTTGTTTAATAGTTTCCTGAGTTTCCTTATCACCATTATCGGATGGAGTAACTCCCCTCCCAAAGCGTATAGCAATATTATGAACATCTGTTTCTAAGTTGATACTGTCTTTAGTTTTATCAATATTCATTTTCTTATCATTTCTACTTATTTTGAAACTGGCTGGAATACACGAACATTTACAGTTTCCTTTCTTTTGTATTTCTAATTCATTTTTCATTTCTAATATTCTTTTACACATTGGACAAGCAAACTCAATAACTGATGTCTCTTTAACAACTTCTTCTTTTTCTTCATCAGTTGAAGAAACAACTGGTTCAGTCTTATTCTTTTTCTTTCTTCCCATTTATATTAATATTTACATTTTTATTTTTGATATATTGTATCATAAACTTAATTATTTCTAAAACAAAATAGCATACTTTCTTGCATCTATTATCAGTTATAACAACTTGTTCTAAATTCTCTACTTCATCTATTATATCAATATAATCTGAATAGCTTCTATTCATATAAAATAATAAATATAAAATATTTTCTAAATAACTTTAATATTATTTTATTATGTCAGATGTTCCAATAATAAAGCCAATAAACATAGCTGAATATGAATTCAAACAATCTAAATATGAGCATGTGCCAAAATTACCATGTAGAAGTATTATAGTTGCGAGTTCGACAGGTGGCAAAACAGTCTTGGTTCAGAACCTTATCTTAAATGTTTATAGAAATTCATTTGCAAGAATATTTATATTTTCTCCCAGCGTTCATAATGACCCAGCCTTTACAGAAGTTAAAAAATATATCAGGGATGAATTGCACGTGGATGATGAAAAAGAACAAATTTATTTTGATAATTATAATCCAAGTGATTTAGAAAATGTAATTGAAAGACAGAAGAAAATAGTTAATTATATGAAATCTAAAAAGATAAAGAAACTACATTCAATATTAATCGTTATAGACGATCATGCCGACGATCCTAAATTTGCTAGATATAGAAAATTATTACATGGATTATTTACAAGAGGTAGGCACGATGCAGTAAGCGTAATTTGTTCAACACAGACATATAATGTGTTGGCGCCTATCATTCGTTTAAATGCCAGTTCATTATATATTTTTAGGTTGAAAAATGCCAGCGAATTGATGAGTTTTATTGAAGAAAACTCTGCCATTGTTGACAAACAGCAATTATTAGATATGTATCATAAAGCCGTTAATTTTGCTCCATATTCTTTTTCCTACGTGAATATGAATTCAAAAGACATTAACAACATGTTTCATATCAATTTTGAACAGGCATTTCAAATTACAAATGATGAATAAAGATATTCTAATTTAATATAATATAATATAATAATATGGTTATAAAACAATGTAGATGTGGTGGATTATATCGTAGAGGTAATTATAATTTTCATACTAATTCTTGGATACATAAACTTTATAAGGTATTGAAAAGAAGGGCAACAGACGAGGAATTATTACGATTTCAAAATATTTTTGTTGATGAAGAAGATTTAATAGATGATAGATGTAGCAATGCCTCAACGAAATTACCCGAAAGTGAAATGACAGATTATGATAGCAATTAATAATATTAATTTGTTTTAATATTATTAATTTAAAATAATGAATAATTACATAATTGAACAGGTAATTTATATATCAATTTGTCAGACTTTTCTTTTTCTAGTTTCTCAATTCGTGCCACACATTCTTGAAGAGATTTAATAATTAAAGTGTCTGCTCGTGTTTTTTCATCTATACTTAAAACCTTAATGTCTTCCAAACTATTGTTTTCATTATTTTTACTTTGAAAAGCACCCATTATATATAATATTATTTAGATTTTAATTTTTCAGAATTATAATTTTGTTTTTCTTCTCCGTCTTCTTCTTCGTCTTCAGTTGGTGCTGGTATTTCTGTTGGACTTTCAGATGAAGAACTATGAACAGTAATAGGTGGCGAACTATGAACACTAATAGCTTCATTTGATGAATTGCTACTGCTACCTTGTGCATTTCCTGCTGTTATTTGATTAACTAAATCTGCGATATTTATTGTTGTTGCAATTGCGCTATGTGATAAGTTTAATATTATATCTGCTACTGTAGCGCCGTTGTGTAGCATTATTTCTATCATTTTTGTCAGTTTGAATCTTTTTTCTTCTTCGTCGCTGTCCTCCTCGTCTGGTGGTTTCTTTGGC